GTGAGACACTTTCTGGCAAAATGTTAATAACTTTAGAAGAATTCCGTTTCACAACAAGAAATTTTGCAGGCCACTAGCACATAATGTATCTCTTAAAAATTTTCGGTGATAGGTTGTTGCGTTGGGGCAAAATACCCTGTCTCACTTTCTCTAAAATCTTGGGCAATATGAGACAGATTTCATTTAAAGAGAAAACTGGGTAAAAATGAAACTTTCAAAAATATGATAGCCAACTTTTGATAAGTTTACCTGATTAAATATATGAGTGCAAGTTAAAAACACAAAGTTATTATTTTATAGCGTATTTTTTCGAATGGTCAAAATATATGAATATTTTAGTAAATTTGCTAGTATCAAAAAAAAAATATCTATAGCAAGAATAAAAAATTAAGAAGTAAAACACAATGTTTATTGAAAAAATATATATTGAACACAAAGTTTCATGTTTGTCTAATGCTTGAACAAAATACCAAATCTACTTGCATAAAAAAAAAATTTTTCTTTTAAATTAAAAAACATGACAAAAATTAAAAAAAATAATACCAATAAAAAAAAATTCCTATGAAAAGTTTAATGTTAGTCGAAACATTTGAATAAAATCTATTTACATAAAAAGCAAACATTATATAACGTGCAGTCTTCGTGTACTCAAACAGTACGTACACAACAAGCTCACCAGTCAATCTAGTTGCCATTGCGATATTTCCCTTGAAAAACTGGACAAAACATTCCCCTTCATTGATTACATCTTTTTCCTTTTTTTCTCGATTTTGTTCTTTTTTCATTGTTTATTTTAAGTAAAAATAACATTTTTACTTAAAATTATTTTCTTATATGGAGGACAAGTTATAATCTCAGATTTTTAAGCTAATTTTTTTTGGATGATATAGTTTTGGAATTTGTTTTCAAAAGAACTTGATGAAGTAACAGTCTTCAAAAGAACTTGATGAAGTAACAGTCTTCAAAAGAACTTGATGAAGTAACAGTCTTCAAAAGAACTTGATGAAGTAACAGTGAACTTGATGAAGTAACAGTCTTTAAAAGAACTTGATAAAGTAACAGTCTTTAAAAAAAGTGAGCTTGATGAAGTAACAGTGAACTTGATGAAGTAACAGTGAACTTGATAAAGTAACAGTGAACTTGATAAAGTAACAGTGAACTTGATAAAGTAACAATGAACTTGATGAAGTATTAGTGTTCTCTGAAAACCTTTTGATTAGTTCTAATTTATCACGACTCTTTAATTCCAATGCAGTCAACTTCTTTTTTTTGTTTTTTTTTCAATTCCTTTTTTGTTATCCCGTTCAAAGTGATTTTCATGAGGTATGGATAACCTGATCTTATAATAATAATAATTATTATTATTATCACTGAAAGATATCCTATAATATTTATTTTAAACACATACCGATTAAATGGGACAATTCCAGTTGCTCTAAAGCTTGAAATAGCATTTTCAATATTAGCAGTTCTTTAACACGCGTTGAAAAATTCTCCAAGATTTTTTGTTTGTATTCGTCTTTCTAAATGGTTTTGCATCCATCTCATACATGCTTGATTAAAAAAGGCTTTCAAGGGGTAAAAAATTGACGGTTTAGTGTTTGAAGTTTATAAGATGTTTGCGATGGTAGTCACAGTAAAAACAATCCATTGTCACGAGCATACTCTATAGTTTTTAAGCATTTGGTATGAAAACAATGACCGTCAAATATAAGTAAACGTAAGGAGCATTGTATGTGTTTATGATATGATGTGATATAATCTTTTTCTTGTCAATATAACTTTTTTTATAAAATTGTTAACGTAAAAAATTGACTGGAACAATCAAAAGATGATGGTCTTATTATCTTTTCCTGTTATATTTCAAAATCAATATCAATAATGTATAAAATAAACACAGTTTATAAGATATTTGTAGTACATAATTATAAATATATATAAATATGAAAACTTATATAATTAAAATTTTTTTTTTTTTTTTTTTTTTAATTTTACTTCACCTCCTCAAGGCCGAAAAGACCACTACAGACGAGGAGGCTACTTATTTTGTGACTATAACCCTCTCTCAACTCTATAACTCCGAAACACGAACCTTGACGAACAAGGCCGCTGCGCGGAGAAACGAGTTGAGCGCGGTACTACCAGGGACGTGGTGGGGATCGAACTCGGAACCACTCGTTTATGAAGCGAGCGCTCTACCACTACACCACTACCGCATTTTCAAATAGCCAAGTAATTGCATTTTTATAAATATGACTATAAACATATCCAGCTATAATATACATAAAAAAATTTCGGGACTTGTTAAAGTTAAATATTAAGAGATTGTTTCAGTAGTGTTGACGTCAAGTAAATGTTGTTAAACAAAGCTTTTAAAATGCTGCATTGAGTTTATTTTTTTAATATCATTTGTGAGAAATAAGCTCACTAATCGTGGTCCTCGTTTAGATATTGAGAACTTGGATTGTCATAAAAACATTTTTGGAATATTGTAGTTTTGCATAGAACGTTTTACAAAATGTTGCATTGAGTTTATTTTTTTAATATCATTTGTGAGAAATAAGCTCACTAATCGTGGTCCTCTTCTAGATATTGAGAACTTGGATTGTCATAAAAACATTTTTGGAATATAGTAGTTTTGCATAGAACGTTTTACAAAATGTTGAATACATTCAAAAAATAAAATTTTTATTAACCCAGCTATTTTCTTGACATTATCTGCAAGTAATAGTTACTTTTTTTGCACGTAAACATCATCATGGGTGGTATTTAATGACAAACATTTTTATATGCCCATATAATTGTTGTTGTGACTCCTTTTTCCCCACTGGTCACTGATGAAACTTACCATTTTCCTCTAGATGCGATAACCTTTAATGGCATAAGGATGCATGACGACGCAGAATCATAACAAACAAAAATTTGATGTGGCTCAAAGTGTTATTTATCTAGCAAATTGTCTAAATTACTAAATTAGATTTTATTATTATCTTTATTCAAACAAAATACTCTGTTTATAGAAACTACTTCTGGTTATCTGAGTGATAAATCAGGAAGGCGTTTTTAAAAGCCTCGCACTAAGTCTTCTAGAACTGTCGTTCTCTTGCTAATTTACTACTTTTGTTAAAAAAATTTGAAATTAAGTTTTTTTTGCAGAACTCAAATACTATCAATCTAATATCCATTATTGAGAGACCTTAAAAAAAATTGCCAACACCCCAGCAAATTCTCAATGGTGGAAGTTTGTATTTACCAGCGATAAGCAAAACAACAGAAAACCGCTCGAAATACCTTTATAGGCATTTTGAGCGGTTTGCTGTTGTTTTGCTTATCGGTTGTTTAGTGGTCCAATGAATGAAGCCGCCAAAAATAGCTTGCGATGAATAGCCACTCGGAAAGTTATAAGCTTTCCATTTAGAGTGGCTGCCACTAATGGTCCACTAAGTATCCGATAAGCAAAACTCTAATAAACCGCTAAAAAATGTCTATATAGGTCTACTGCTAAAACGCTAAAACAATGTTTGCTGGGATCTTTAATATACTTATTTACAACTTGTTCTAGGTTATCAGAAAGCACCTTTCTAAACCTTCCAAGTATATTAGTATGTAAACTACTTTTAAAAGAAGCCTTATTAACACGCATTTCTTTAAGGCATCTCCTTCAAATTTACTGCTGCAATGGCATTTTTCATGTAATTTTCGTTCCAGTTAGCTTGATTAGATTTTTTCTTGTAGTTTCTTGTTTAAAATTATTTGGTCACTAGATGCCACAAAAACATGCAGCAAGACTAATTTCTGTCAACGATAAGTTTACCCAAGCTGAAACCTTATTAAAAACTTTGAATGTATTTAAATGATTTAATGTATTTTAAATTTGAATGTATAATATATACAAATGTCTCCAAAACTAGTCAATTGTCAATCAACATATTCCATTCCTTCTTTAAATAACAACTTAGGTTAGAGTTATCATATTTTTCAGATAACATTTTTCAAATTAACACAAACATATACACCACAAAAAAAAAAAAAAATTTACACTCGCCCTAAAAAAATAGCAATAAAACTTTCACAATCCTTTATTACATGAGAATTCATGACAATACAATTACATCACATTGTATCACTCGCTATTATTTAACAATGATGTCTGTATAAACCATTAAATTAAGGTGTCGATAATACAAAATTTTGATGTTCTACTTGTTAAAGTTTATTACAATATATTTCGCACTAACAATGCTTAGCAATAATGTTAAATTTGGTATCATTATATCTTATTATATATATTATATACTTTCAACGACGACCGCGAGCAATTTTTTCTTTGCCATAATAGGCTTTAAATGCGTGTAATGTTAAGAAAAAAAAGGTTTAAATATTTGCATATTTGGTATAGTTATGACGTTTTTTCTCACTCCAGTTTTGAGAATGATGTGGTTTTTGCACAAATTTTCACCTGTTTGAAGGTTATCTGCGAAAATAATTATTTTTTTGTAATAGTTCATTTTTATCACAAGTTTATTGATAAAATTTTTTTTTTTCATAAACAGTACGGGATCATCATAAAGGATTGAAAAAAAGCCATGTTTTATTTATGTCCCCAAATGATCCTCAACTCAATACTGTATTACCCCTTTTGAATGCAATATGTAAAGAAAAAGCAGAGCAGAGTATGACTTTTTTATGTTAACAGAGCTTACCACAATAACCATTTCCATTATTATTAAAGACAAAAGAAATATTGAAACATGATAATCTTTTTAAAAAAATAATAGATATAGAAATTGATGCTTTCATATAATTGTATAATTTTATATAATTTCAATACTTTTTTCTGTTTTCTTTTTAAAGGTTGTGTTTAGGTTAAAATCTTAGAGACAATAAAGAAAATTTTTTTACATTTTCTCTAAACAAGTTATATTTTTTTAAATTATTTTTCAAAAATAGAAAAAAATGAAAAAATGGCAAAAAACAACAAAATTAACATAGTATTGATATATAATCAAATTTAATTTAATCTGTAAAAATATTGTTTAATTACAAACTAACATTTAAAAAAAAGTTTAATCATGTAATAATTGTATCTATAATTAGCATTCTCAGTATTTTGATATTTGTATAAACATTATATTAAAACATGGTGTTCAAGACGTTCATTTTATTTAAACCACAAGCTTTTATTCATTTCGTTTGGTAACAGGATTTCCAGCACTAAATTTAAACAAAACAATAGAATGTCATAAATTTGAACAATTGAAAATCATCATTAAACTAAATAAACTATTTGAAAGTTACTCAAAAAAGTTTTTAAACTTAAAAATAAAAGTTTAAAAACGGTGTCTTCTTTTAACCATACTGAGAAACAAGAACTAATTGGTACCTCACATTCGTTTGGATAGATCTTGCAAACAGAAAATGCTTTGTTTAACATTACGTTTAATCTTTGTATGCACTAAATTGAAATTAGAAGAATGTATGTATGCATGTATATATGTATGTATATATGTATGTATGTATGTATGTATGTATGTATGTATGTATGTATGTATGTATGTATGTATGTATGTATGTATGTATGTATGTATGTATGTATGTATGTATGTATGTATGTATGTATGTATGTATGTATGTATGTATGTATGTATGTATGTATGTATGTATGTATGTATGTATGTATGTATGTATGTATGTATGAATGTATGTATGTATGTATGTATGTATGTATGTATGTATGTATGTATGTATGTATGTATGTATGTATGTATGTATGTATGTATGTATGTATGTATGTATGTATGTATGTATGTATGTATGTATGTATGTATGTATGTATGTATGTATGTATGTATGTATGTATGTCAACTTTTTATATTGCGGTGGTATTAATGTTGACTCCTATATTTTTTTTAATATTTCACTGAAAAGAATTTTTAAAACTTAAGAGACGTATTTTATACAGCATGTCAGCTGTGTTCAGCCATCTTAATAACCACAAAGGTTTTTATCTACCTTAATATATATTGAAACCTCAAATTTCAGGCCATTTATGAGGAAAATCCTAGCAAAGATTAGCTAAGATTATTAATCTTAAAAAAACAACCTAAAAAACGGTTTCCAACAATATATTTTAACCGTAACACTTCACTTTACACCCCATATACAAAGATAACATGAACTTGTTTAGCTAATAAATTTTTTATTCGCCAGGGAATAATTTCGTTTGGAACTCTCAAAAAATCATATAATATCTCAATATGTTACTAACTTAACCATAATTTATAAGTCTTTTACTGGTATAATAAAATCCTTTTAAAAATATTTCTAATGGTTGTTAAATTATTATCATTGAATTTTTTATTTTTATTACTATTTTATGATAATTAGTACTAATAATATAATTGTCACTATAACATTAATACTTTTGTTATCATTTTATACATTATTTTTGTTATTAACACTATTATTATTATCGCTGTTGTTGTTAAAATATTTTTAAAGCAAACAAAAGTTATACAAAAATTCAAATTTCTAATACTAAAATATCCGTACCCATTTGCTCAATTTAATATGTGAAATGTTGCAACTTGTTATGCTTGAATTATGATATTCCTTCATTCGAGTATTTATTGATAGCATCAGTTTATCAACAGTACAATTATTACATTTGTTGAAGTGTTTTGTTTTTGTTTCTATGTGCTTTATGCTGTGTGTATTTGGTCCAAAACGTGGTCCTAGAAAAGTATGTTTTAGTATACGAGTATGTTACTAAATAAATAATAAAGATTTAACTCAGCACTTTTAACTTTAAAATTAAAATAATAATAATAAAAAAGTCTAACCTTGCGTTTTAAAAAGTTCAAGAAAAACCAGCAAAAATACAAGTGCAAAAATATTCATCTTTAAAAGAGCTTTTGAGAGTTATATTTAGTGTTTTAGCAGAGTAGATATTTGTAATGTATTTTAGTGTTCAACGGTGTATTTATAGTGAATTTTAAACAAACATTTACGGAAACGATATTGACATATAAAATTTACTAATTCTAGTCAACAAAGTTATAAAAGAGTTAAAAACACTTTTGACACGCCTTTATAAAAAATATCTTGTTTATGCTCGGCTAAAAGGAGTTTATGGGGGCAGTTGGATTGAAAAACAACTTTTTTCCTAAAGAGTTCGTATTCAATCAAAAGGTAGATTTAATATTCAATCAAAAGGTTAGTTACAAACAGTAGTTAATTGCTTAAACTTAAATATAAATTTATAAAGTTATTGCTCAATAAAAAAACAAAGCTTGAACGTTTTGTTATTCGATAGTACATTGTTTAATATTGAGTTAATTCTTTTAAGATATGTTTGAATTAGTATATTTAAAAGTTTATTTTGTTTTATTTTTATGTTGTCCGTAAATAGTCGAAACTACTATACTCTTTTTTGAACAAAATAAGATTTATTGATTCTTAATATGATAATTATATATTTTTAAAATTACATATATACTTCACACCTACAATATAATTACAAGTATTTCTTCAAATTATTTAATTGTTAAGAAGGCATAACCATAAAGACGTTCACTTAGTTTAACCAATCTTTGAAGAGTAAATTTAAACAATGCATAAATCTAATTGAATAAGGTGTGAGCTGGTTATTTATTTACAACTTGTTATAAATTAACTATTTTTAATAAAAACTTTAAATTATATATACAATGTATTAATAACAATAAAAAATAATAATAATAATAATAATAATAACAATAATAATAATAATAATAATAATAGAATAACATAGCAACAACACAACAAGGAAAAAATAAAAGTTTGCTTTGATCTGAGGTGAAGATTTTATTCTACTTGTAATAAACATTTCTAATGATACAACGATTTGCATTACTACAAAATTAATATAAAAAATTAGGATTTTAAAAATGATCAAGTGTCTAAAAGGTTTTGAAGTAATGTCGAACAACCTACAAATACTTATTTTAAAAACCCTTTTATTAAACCATATATAAAAAAACTTTCTTGTGAAAAAGAATAAGTCTTTGATATTAATGAAAACAAATTTAAGTTACTTAACTCAAAAAACAAACTATAAGTAGCTATTTAAAAAGTAAAATACTGCAATGATCACTTGAAAAAATGATGAAATTAGCTGTTAAAAATGAAATTAACTTGTTAAAAAAGAAATTTTTGAAATATTACAATTTTATAAAATGTTAAAAAAAAATAAAATATAGTTCTTAATTTAGTTCTTGGAAGTTTAAATAAATGCTGAGTTAAAATAAAAGAAACTAATGTTGCGAAAAAGAGAAAGTAATTTAAAAAATGCTTTTCAAAAGAAAAACAACAATATTGATGAAAACAGTATGAAAGATTTTATAATTTTAGAGAAAGTTGACAAACTTTATAGATGTTTTTAAACATGAAAGTTTAGACCTTTGGAAATTTGATTTCTTTGTTTAATGATGAAGAAATAATAATTTCTAAAGATACTAGATACCATAACAACACTAGAAAAAACATTATGAAGCAATTTTCAAATAATGTTAGTGTGAATAATATCAGTCACAAAGAAAGAATATTTTTTAAAATTTCTAAGTCGCAATAAAAAAAAAAGAATACATTATTATATTGAAATTACATTATTATATTGAAATTTTTAGTCTTATCAACCCTCTACCTATCTTTCAATTTGATATTTTCAAGAATATCACTGTATATAAAGAATACATTAATACAAGCTACTGTAAAGTGCAGATCAATCCAGAAAACTTTAATTTTAATTTTCATGTTATTTAGATTTTATTACTTGATTTCATATATGTTGTATTAACTTTTTAAGTTTTATTAACTTTATATTTTATAACATATTTCCTAAAGTAGTTTATTCTGTATAAATATTCTGTAAAATAAATAAAAATAGCTCTACTTAAACACGAATAAAAATCCATAGAAGCTTCAATTTTGGCTACTAATTGTCATATTTTTTACAATTTTAACAATTGTTTGCTATGGTATTCGGAAGCGCCATAAACATTATAAAAAAGTTTAAAAAAAAAGAAAGTAAGAAACCGTTACATTTTCGCCATTTAGGAATGGTTTGTGGAAAATCAGTCACTATCTTGCAAAACTTTAACAAAATAATACATGACATTTATAATATCGGGACCACATCTACCGCGAAAAAAAGAATATTTTGCTGAGTTAAAAATACTGTTTAAATCAATGTCCATTTTTAGTCTTATCAACCCTCTACCTATCTCTCAATTTGATATTTTCAAGAATATCACTGTTCATCTCAAAGTTTAAATCATGCACTCATGACAATAGAAAATTTTCTTTTTATTTTAAACCGAAACCTTTTGTCTATGTTGGAATTGCTTGTCCTTAAATATATTTAAACATGAATTTTAATAGTGCAGCAAAAATTTTGTTCAATTTTGTGTGATACAAAAAGATTACTTTTTAACTTTATGTTACGATTTTAAATTATTTCTAGAAAAGCTTCTAGAAAAAAAGAAAAAAAAAGTTAATTGAAAAAAAATAATTGAGCTTCAGCTGCATTTTTATATTTTAATTCACCTATGTAAAATTGTAAGATTTTATTAAACTGTTAAGAAAATAGCAACAGCAAGTCAACAATAAGTAAAGAAAAAACTTGTCATTGTCAAAACTGTTTTAGTTACATAACTGTTAAGTTATTATCTTTTTTTTTCTCTTTATTTTACAAAGCTTATGTTTCTAAACTTAAACATGTTATAAACTTTTATACACTTAAAAATTTTATAATTTCTGCTATACAAAACTGTAACTTTGCCGCTAGGTTAAACCTATTCATCTAGGTAAGCACCAATATATCAAGCTATAAAAAAATGACCGACAAAATCATTTGTATTTTGTAGATTGCCACATATGGCGAATCCTTTTTTATCACAGTCATTTACAAGATAAAATAGGTTACTAGTATAAAAGTAAACTGTTCTTTCTTTTGGGGTATTTTTACACTTATTTTTAGCAGAAGCGCGACTTTTTATTATGTTTGGCGCCCCAAGTTTACAGTATCACAGAGCAGGAAACAATAGCCTCTTATTGGGAAACACTTTTCAACTTTATCAAACTTGTCAGAGTCAGTCAAGTACAAACAAATGCGTTATTTGATTTGATTTTTATTTTCTCCAATACAGTTGCACAAAAAACCGTAATGCAGTATACTTTTGTAGAACTGAGATTAAAAAATCATTTTAAAAAGAAGAAGCATCATTTGACCTTTTCCTCCTATTACCTTCATGGTACAAATGTATGTAACGTTTTCTTCTTTAGGTACGAATATATATAACTTCTCCTCTTAATATCATATATAGAAAAAACATTAACTGACAGCTGTTTTGTGTGATAAAGTCGTTGAATATTAAAGTAGGTATTAAAAGTATATTGACTTCATATTGCCAAATGCTAATGATAGAACTTCATGTTTTAGAAAATTGTAAAACTTTATGCTCATCCTTTTATAAACATCCAACTCAACCTGTGCTGCCAATTGAGCAACATCAATTAGACATGGGGATTTCCGCTTGAGATTTAATTTTCACATATGCAGTAAGTTTCTACTTGTCGACGGCCAAAACGAAAATTAAAACTTGATTTTAAGTTGCTTCAATAAAAAGAAGTGCCTCTATTTAAATCAGGATATATTTCACAGAAATGTGGCCATTTTGTCTTTACATTTAAATTGATATTGAAGCAATAGTTTTCTTTCCTTTAGTAGCGCGATTCCTTGATTGAAAATGGTATGTGGTTACTTACAATGTCATGAACATTCTGAGGAAGGTAATGAGTGATACTTTTTCCTTTTAGAGTTAGGGTAACCTAACCCTAACCCTATCTCTGACCCTAACCCTTTTCCGATAGCATTAAGGTTACTTATTCTCCATAATTGTTTTTTACTAATAAACAAGACTGAAATATGAGCAGCCGTAGCGCAGTGATTAGCGCGTTTGCCTCAGAAGCTAAAGATCCGTATGTCAATGTCATTTCTGGGCAAGTTTTATAACAACGGTAAGAAACAAGGTGTGAACTTTCTTTCAAATGCTCTATCGTCGTGCTCTGTGATAAGATCGTTAGGACTTCTTGGGGTACCTAAAAAAATAATTAAAAAAAAAAATTAATTGCAATATACCTCTAAACGTACATTACCTAAATTAGGAGAAGCTTTTTTGATGCTATTGGTTGTTAAACATTCTTTTAATGAGGCACTATTCTTTGAACCTTTGTAACATTTATCGATCCTTGAACATTCAAAAAATAAGCAAACCTTTGCTTTTGTATCAAAAAAGTCTGAAAAAATATCAACGTAGGATGTCTCTGCAAAAGCTTTCTAAAGATTTCTTTTTTTCTTTTTCTTGCACCTAAAAATTAAAAAATTAATGTTGACCTAAAAGCTAAAAAGTTGTATTGTTGTTCGTAATTACAACATTACGTCAAGTAGCTATTTAAAGTTACATCTTAAACACAAGACAATAGTGACTTGAGTGAACAATAATTGGAATTAAATTGACCTTTTTATTTTAGGAGTTTTTTAGTTGTTAGTGTTGCCACCTATGTTATACTCTCAAGACGTGAGTAAGCCTTGTTCTGGAAAGGTAAGATTTAACTGATCATAGTTTGTTTACTATAGAAGAAAAATATCATATTAAAACAGGTAAATGAAACTACAAAGTAGTAAGGGTTATCTAAATACTGTAAATTGCTTACTAAGAATTTTACTTATCATACCTACATAAAACAGTTACACCTATCTCTAACCTAGTCTAAGTGTTACTCATCATATCAATTAAAACGGTTACCCGTATCTAGTCCTGTCTTTGCTAAGTATTTGCTAGATTATACTTAGGATTAGGGCAGAATTACTAGCTATATGTAAGAAAAAACTAATTATAGACTAGGTATATAAAAAACAGCAT